GTGATGAAAAAACAAACAGGATGAAATTCAATAAACTTTATAAAGATTTTATATCTTGTGTATTTCTTAATGGATTGCTTTTAAATTTGGTATATCAAATGAAGGTACAGCAGAGCACATAAACTGAAAATATGCGATAGTTTGGATTATCACAGTCTGAGCTGCAGAAAGTGGAAAATTTCTAAACTAGCACTCCTGTTAATAACACACACAGTGTGTGTCTTGATGGTATGAGATATTATCAGTAACTTATGTAGTGCCTTTAAGCTTTTTTTTTTCATATTTTGAAGACAATTATTACATTAAATTATTTCATTATGAGCTACCTTACGTTGTGATAAGCCATGCAATTCAAGCTAATAGATACATATTAAAAATAGTCCACTCAATGAAAATATATATTTTATGAACTTTTAGAGTTCTTATTTTTACCAGAAGCAACAAAAGTTTTCATTAAGAACACTTTCTTACTAAAGTTAACTGCCCACCATATAACTGAACCCATGTATATGCTTGTATCTACATAATTTACTTGATCACATTAGATTCAAGAATATTGCTAAGAATTACTAAGTACAGTGTGATGAATTAGATTAACTTATATCTGTATATTTTCTTTAACTTAAATATTTTTCAGTTGAAATTACAATGAAAGAAAGGAAGATAATTTATTTTTTAATTATTATAATTGGAATATTCTGAACATTTGTATACAAATAAAGTACAAAATTCTGTGTGTGTGTCTGTTTGTCCATTACCTAACTACTACTAGGATGCTGGGCCAATCTCAACCAAACTTTGTTGGTTGACAGTTTGGAAAAATGGGCATGGCATTGGGGCTTTCACCCCCCCCCCCAACTGTCTATTATTGCTGTTGTTGAGCCTTTATTATCTTTGACATTAATTAATTACATTCACAGGTGGCACCACATCCTTATACCCAAAAAAAGAAAAAACTATTAACTTTCTATAAAACAATATATACATAACATGGGAGGAGGTCACACAAACATCTTGTATGTCTCACAGAGTGCACTAGCACTCTCTATATAGGAATGCAATGAAATAAAAATGTCCAACACTATTGCAATAATACACAAACTCAGCTTAAATTTCTATGCCAAAAGCCACCATAAGCCTGATATGAAGAGCCATTTCTTGAGTTATACCCACTTCCTACTTTGACCCATGACCTTTCAACTTTGGCCCATAAGACACTTCTGCAGCCAATGACCATCAATTAATCAATCACGTGAAACTCTGTAGAAGGACACTATCTCTTCCTACAAAGTCACCCTGACCACATAATGTATACCATGTTTTAAGTATATACATATTGAGTTCTTAAAGCTTAT